CGGTGCGGGCCGCCCCCCTGGGAGTGGGAAAACTGAGGCCAGAAGAGGGCAGCCACTCTCCCGTGGACTCGAGCCCGAGCCAAAAGCAAGGTCAGCCAGACCCCCAGACCTGCGCCGCTCGGACTGTCACCCCAAGGACTCCCGCGGTCCCTGAGGGGGAACAACCAGAGAGTGGCACACGGAGACTCCCAGCCCTGCCAGGCCCGCGGCCCCACCCCTCACCTTGTCGAGGGAGCTGCCGGCCGGTGTGGAGGCCAGGCTGTCCCGCAGGTACCCACTGGCCTTCTCACAGATGGCCAGGCTGGCCGGGCCAGACTCCGCCTTGGTGCAGCCCAGCAGGGCCCGGGCTGCCTTGAAGGAGTGCAGCGCCGCCCTGGGCAGGGGTCTCCTGTGGGGACCAGAGCAGGGGAGGCAGGTCAGACCAGATCGCAGGCCCTCACGGAGACCCGGGTTCTGGCTCCCTGGGGAAGAAAGGGTGGCAAGCTCCACAGCAATCCCAGGGCCGGGGAGGGTCAGGCCCCAGGGAGGGTCAGGCCCCAGGGCAAGGGGCCCTGGCCAGGCACTCACTCAGACTCTTGCAGGGCCCGTGGCAGGTGCTCCACCAGCGGGTACAGCCGCACGGCCGCCTCCTCATCCCGCCGCAGCCAGTGGATCGCCACAGCCGTCAGCGAGGCCCACCACTTAGCCACCGGGTCTGTGCCTGCAGTGGGGGGTGGGAGCCCTTTACTCTCAGGCCCCGCTGCACCTGGAGCTGAGAAGGGAGTTGGGCAGGCCTGAGGGCTCACCGGTGGTGGCGGCCATGCTGGAGCTGATGGAGAAGCTGCAGGCAGGAGCCCCCGCAGCATCGGAACAGCTGTTCAGCAGCTGCAGGTACCCAAGGGCATCTGAGAACTCCCTGTGGCAGGAGAGGACTGGCCGTCAGGACAGGCGGCAGGGGTCCTGGGGCTCCTGGAAGGGTGCTGGCCTGTCCCCGCTGCCCACCAGAGCACGGCCTGACCCCCTGGCTCTACAAAGTGCCACTGTCTCCTCCTGCCAGGCTGGTGGCGAAAATGAACCCAGAGGGGACCTACCTAAGGGCACACAGCAAGTGGACGGCAGCCCGGCTCCGACCGCCACACAGACCATGGACAGAGCCATTCCCAGACTCCATGTTGGGGGGTCTTGCCTGGAGGAGGGCACAGGGACACTTACTTGTCCCCGTCCGCTGACCCAGGGCTGGGGCTGGGGCTGGGCTGGGCCACACAGTTCAGTGCTCGCTCCAAGAGATGTTCCCGGAACAGCTGAGTCACCTGAGCCAGGGGGTCCACTGTGGGGAGGAGGGGTGAGTGGGGTGGGGGACAGGGGCCCACCCTTCTCTCCACAGGCCCCTCTCCACATGAAGGCCTCTGTCCTGGACAGGCCGGGGCCACACCCAGAAGCCTTCTGAAGTGGCAGCTTGGCCCTGGGAGCAGCCCCCCACCAAAGACAGACAGCAAGCCCCAGCTCGGGTGGGGTCATGGGTGGGATGCCCTACCCACTGCTGCCTCCAAAAGGCAACCATGTGTCAGGGCACCGTTCCTGGCTCTGCCCTTTCCTGCCTGGTTTCCTCACACGGCGGTGCTGCCTGGGGCCACTTCCCAAACCAGCTCCCTGCCCAGGTCCCTTTGCTTGCTACGGGAACAGCGACCCGGCCAGGCCTTCCCCACGCTGCAGCCCCCACAACACCCGACAGTGGGGAGCGGAACTAAGGGGGCCGAGACACCCAGAAACGCAAGGGGACCAGTGGCTGGATGGGAATGGGGAGAGAGACAAGACAAGGGACAGAGACGGGCGGGAGCACCTGGGTTCCCGGCCAAGCTGTACAGGCTCTCCCGCGGGGCGCTGCGCACGGCCCAGTCCCCATCCACGAAGAAACGGTGGCCCACAGGGTGGCAGAGCCACTGCATGGAGAGAGGCACCGAGCCACTCTGCGCCAGGCAGGCCTGGCGGGCGCTGCTCAGGAAGAAACGCTGTGGAGGAAGGGAGCCAGGCGGTCACACTGAGCCCAGGCAGGGGCTTCCGCCCAGGCTGAGCCCCGGCGTGGCCTGGAGCCCACCAGGCGACCAGCTGCCACATCCTCCACAGCCCCTAGCCCACAGAAGCCCCCAGCCCTTTCCCAGGCAGCCCACCACCCACTCACTGTCAGAAAATGCAAGGCCCGTGGGAGACTCGTCTTCACTCTCAACGCAGCTGCCACGTAGATCTCGGCCAGTGTGGCCACGGGCACGGTGTCCCCAGCACATTCCGCCAGGTTCAGGGCACCCAGCGCCAGGTGGGTGGCAGTGAGGTGCCCACCTGTGTACTTCCCTGGAAAGCAGGCAGGGCGTGGGGCCGGGGGTGGCGCCGAGGCGGCAGGGAGCCCCTCAGGCCCAGGTCCGCGCCCGGCCATACCCACGGTATGCAGCTGGTGCAGCTTGTGGTAGACCAGGGCGGCGTCCCGGGCGCTGGCGCGAGCATCCGCCTGCAGGGCGCGGTCCCTCTGCAGGCCCCCTGCCCGGCCTGCCAGCCAGCGGCCCACCCAGAGACGCTGCAGCAGGTGGCGGATGAGGTTCCAGAGAAGGCTACAGGCCAGGTCCAGGTGGGAAGTGGGCAGGGGCCGGCCCAGCGCCCGCAGGGCCAGCCACAGCTGCTGGGCAGCCTGGGCAAAGTCCCCCTGGGGAAGAGGGGTTTCCAGGTGAGAAAAGTGGGGTCAAAGCCTCTCTCCCCCGGGCTCTCTGGGGCCTGGGGGTGGGTAGAGGGGAACAGGGAGAACAGGGCAGGTTCACGGTGAGCACAGAGAGGAGACGGGGGGTGACGCCCAGCCCCTTCCCAGCCTGGGGCCCAGGGCCACCCAGGGCCAGCCTGGCCTCACCCGGGCCAGGTCCAGGTCGGCCTGCTTGCGATGCCTCCAGAAGTGCACGGCAGGGCCCGAGTGGGGCCGGGTGACAGGCTCTCCGTAGACGAAGAGAAGCACCAGGGAGCCCAGCACAAGCAGCCCGTTGGGCAGCCAGACCAGGGGCGGCAGCAGCCATGGGGCCCAGCCAGGGCTGTCTGTGGGCAGAGGCAGGGCTTGGGACACAGCTCCCAGGAAACCCACCGTCCCTGAGCCCACAGACCTGGGGTCCGCACTCTCCAGAGTCCCTCCCCAAGACGCCCAGGCTGGCCTTTCCTACCTCTGCTGTCCGTGCCCAGCATGGCGCGCCCAGGACTGTGGTGGACACTGGTGGTGTCCGAGGGGCTGGGAAGCCCCCGGCCCCCCAGCAGGGAGGCCAAGGGGTTGCAAGACAGGCAGAGGAAGACGAGCACGCACAAGGCCAGGCGGGAGCGGTCCAGCATGCCCCGGCTGGGGGGCGACAGCCGCTGCTCTGGCTTCACCTGGAGGGGGCAAGCGGGTGAGAGCAGAGTCGCAGGGAGCCCAGAGAGCAGGGGGCCGGGCAGGGGAGGCGGGACTCCGCCCCCCTTGCTGCGGGGCCCCAGGCCTCAGTTATGATGTCTGTAAACTGGGAGGCAGGATCTGTTAGGGGCCTCTCCCTGACCCGGCCCCGGGGTTCAGAGGGCGCTGCTGAGGGGGCAGGGGGTGTCGCTGCGGGGCCCAACCTGGCTGTCCTCGAAGACCGGGCTGTCCGGCTCTGAGTCACTGCCACTGCCGCCGCCGCCGCTGCCCCTGCTGCCAAGGGACAAGGGGCTGCTCTGGGAGGGCGAGCCGGCATCCGAGGGTGGCGGGGTCAGTGTGTCTTCCATCTCGGTCTTCACGCCCTCCGTGAGGACACCCGTGTCTCCTCCACTGCCACAGGGTGACATCAGGTCCTTCAGAGGTTCTGGGAGCCAGGAAGGAACAGAGGAGGGGTGAAGGTCTTGAGGGCAGGAAGCAGGGGGGTGGGCGCTGGTCTAGCTGGGACAGGGTGAGGTAAGGGCAGGAGCCAGGGCCATTGCAGGGCCAGAGCCCGGGCAGAGCAGGCCAGAGGAGAGGCCTGGACAGGGTGAAGCAAGGCCAGGACTCACTGCTCTTGTGGGCAGCCGAGCGCAGGCTCAGATTCTCCTGCTTGAGCTTCTGGTTGCTGTGCTGCAGAAAACGGATGTAGTCGATGGCCTTGCGCAAGACGGCGGATTTATTCAGCTGCAGGGTGGGAGGGAGAGAGCGCAGGTGGCGGGTCAGGCCCGGCAAGGGGCCCCAGCAAGGCAGCGCAGAGCTGCTTTGCAACACAGCTGCCTCAGGACCTTTGCACGTGTTCCTTCTCCCTGGAACGCTCCTCCCCTCGTATACCTACCTCCCAGGTGGGCACAAGGATCAGCAGGTAAAGTGTGTGCCCAGTGTCCAACCAGCTGCCGTTACCATGACCACCGTGGTCACGCCTTTCTCCCTCGCCTCCGGGTCTCTGCTCACAGATCACGTCACTGAACAGGACCTTCCCCGACTACTCACGCAGACCTGCCCTCTTGCCATCCTAGCCCCACGTGGCGGGCTCTGACACTCACTCACATAACTTGTCCATCTCCCCCGCTAGAAGGTAGCTGGCTGAGGCAGCATGTCTATCCGCACCCCAATGTCTAGGACAGCGCGCCCTTCGGTCAGGAGGCCCACAATCAAGTTTAACTGAACAGTCGGGCCGGCCAGGCCCGGGAAGGCTGAAGCCCCAAGGTCCCGTCTGTCCAGGCTTAGCCTCAGCCCGTCTCGCTCTCCCAGAGGCTCAGACCAGCCTCTTCCCGGGACCCCCAGCCTGTGCCTCCACGGGCCTCTGCCGCACCTTTGCCTCGGTGCCCACCACCAGGTCCTTGAGCTCCACGATCTTGTCGTTGATGGAGGAGCGGTAGCGCTTCTCGATGGCGTTGTGGGCAGTGCGCTTCTCGCCGCGGCTCGGGGCCGAGCCTGGGGCCTTGCTGCCGGCTGCCAGTCGGTTGATGGGCAGCTTGTCGGCGTCCACGACTAAGGGCACCGTCGCCAGGATGGTCCCACCGCTCACCAGGGTCTGTGGAGCCCAGCACGCGTCACCGGGGGGCACGTGAGGATGCCGGCCCCACGCCCTCCGCCCTGGCCGTGCCTCCCACCTGCAAGGGCCCTGTCTGCACGGCCGTGCCGGAGACCAGCGGGCCGAGACCCGCCGCCTTCACAGAGGCGCCCACGTCGGTCTTCATGGTCGTCAGGAGCAGCGAGTCCGCCTTGATGAAGTGGGGCTGCAGCAGGACCTGGGGTGGGCGGGGCCTGGTGAGCACTGTGCGTCTGGGCCGGGGGCCGGGGGCCGCCCCCTTCCCGCCGCCCCCTTCCCAGCTCCGGTTCAGACCCCCTCACCGGGACCTGCTGGATCTGCGAGGCCACGGTGGCTGTCCCGGGGGTCATTGCGGGGGCAGCTGTGGCCGTCAGGAGTTGGTGGGGGGCTGCACTCTGGAGCTGGGGATTCAAGGAGACGGGCGGGACCCCTGGCGGGGAAGCCAGTGGCAGGCCAGGCAGCGGCTGCTGGGTGCTCACGGGAGGGGTCCCTGCAGAGAAAAAGCCCAGGCTATGGTCACGGGCTGTCCTCACCCTCTTTCTTTTCGTTTCCTTTCTTTCTTTCTCTCTCTTTCTCTCTTTCTATCTCTTTCTCTCTTTCATTTTTTAATATTTTTATTTTAAAGATGTGGGGTACAATTCACATGTTCATTATGCAGGCCCCCTTGTTGATGAGGTGTGCCCCTCCCTCCCCTGGCAGTTTCCCTCAGTTGTCAATCCCACCCCCTACTGCTAATCCCTTTCTTACAGTATTATGATAATTGTTCAAGGTCTGCTTATGAGTGCAAACTCACCCACTTTCAACCTGCTCTTTGGGTCTCTATCATCATGTGGCCTTGGGTAAGTCACTAGCCCTGGGACTTCCTATGGACAGCCCCTGCTGGACTCTGATGCAAATGAGCCAGCTTCCAGCCCAGCCTCTAGCAGGAGGCAACACGTAACCCAGCAACAAGAACACATTGGTCTCAAAGTAGTGACCTAATTTCTTTCTCTCTCTCTCTTTTTTTTTTTTGAGTTGGGGTCTCACTCTGTCACCCAGGCTGGAGTGCAGTGGTGCGATCATGGCTCACCGCAGCCTCAACCTCCTGGGCTCAGGCGATCCTTCCACCTCAGCCTCCCTAGTAGCTGGGGCGACAGGTGCACACCACCATGCCCAGCTAGTTTTTAAATTTTTTGTAGAGAGGAGGTCTCGCTATGTTTCCTAGGTTGGTCTTGAACTCCTGGGCTCAAGGGATTCTCCCAGCTCAGTCTCCCAAAGTGCTGGGATTACAGGTGAGCCACTGCATCTGGCCTGGAGATCTGATTTCTAAAGTCTGCAGATTGGCCAGGCTCGGTGGCTCAGCCTGTCATCCCGACACTTTGGGAGGCCAAGGCAAGTGGATTGCCTGAATCCGGGGGTTAGAGACCAGCCCAGGCAACTTGGCGAGACCTCCATCTCTCCAAAAAAATAAAAATAAAAAAATAAAGTCTGCAGGTTCCTCAGCAGATGCTTCTTCCAGTGCTCCTGGCAGCCCAACCCGGCTGTCCCCTCCCACCACACACACCCCTTACCTGCAGAGAAGCCGCCAGGAGGGCTGGGGTAGCCCAACACAGGCGTGGAGCTGAACTGCGGTGGGGTTGGGGCCGGAAAGCTCTGGGGCAGGAGGGCCCCTGGCAGGGACTGTGGGGTGGGGGTCTGCAGGATGCTCAGTGGCATCGACTCCTCCTTGATACCAGGCCCCGGGGAGAAAGTGGGCACCGATGGGTACATCTTCAGTGGGCTGGGCGCAGGCTGGGGAGGGGACAAGGGTGAGGGCACTGCCTTGGGCCCCCCCAGGAAGCCTTCGAGAGGGGAGCTCAGTGTGGCAGGAGGTGGGGACAAGTTGCCTGGGCCGCTGGCATCGGGGCTGGCTGGGTCCGTGCCCCCCACCCCGCCCCCGGCATAGGGGGGGTCAAACAGGCCGGGGAAGTCGCTGTCTTGGTGGTTGATGAGCTGAAGCATGTCTGTGAAAAGGAAAAGAGGGGCTGTGAACAGCAGTGGCACAGAGCTGGCCCCCGAACGGCGTGGCACGCACACACACACGCACACACGCAAACCCACGCGCACAGCCCTCGTCCGCACACAGCTGTGCCTTGGGGACAGAAAGCCACCCACGGGGCCAGAGCCCCCAGACGCAGTCATTTCTCAGGCACCCATGCCATCTAGAGCAATGCCCAGTGTTGCCAGCGTATCAAATGGCCCTTGCATCCCCCAGACAAGGTGGGCACCACAGGCTCACCCGCTGGCCCCAAGTCAGGCTGGGCTGAGCCGGGGTCAGGCCAAGACTGCAGACTTCAAAGCCTGAGCATCCCACCACCTGACACCTGCTGGAACATCTGACAACATCCTCAGTCCACAGCAAACAGCAGGCTGCATTCATTCATTCATTCACTCATTCATTCACTCATTCACTATGCCCGGCACTGTTCCTGGCCGTAAACAAGACAGACAAAAGTCCCAGCCTAGAGCCAGGCAACGTTCTGGGGAGCTGGGATGTCCTACATCTGGATGTGGATGGCCATGACCTTTTATTCCTGTCTTCATAAAGACATCCTCCTTTGAGTCCTCACATACACACACATACGCCCACACTTCCAAGCGCTTGCCCAGGAGGTGGCAAGCCCTTCTAGAAGCCTCTCCTGCCCTCCCTATACTCCACCATCCTCCTTACCCCCCCCCATGCACACACCCAGGACCTGGCTTGGTGAAGGAGCACCCACCCCACCCAGGGCAAAAGGAATCCCAAGGCCCAGGTACAGCTTTGCCCCGGCCCCACTTGGGGCCTCAGTTTCTCAATCTGTGAAACGGGAGCACGCCTCACAGGTCCAGCAGGTCCAGTCCTTAGGAGGAGCTGGGATGCCATAGCCAGAGGGAGGAGGAAGCCTAGGGCAGGGGAGAAGCGGGCTGAGAGGGTCCTCACACAGCCACGATGGACCCCACACCCCACCAACTGGCCACTCCTGGTCTCTTCCTTCAAGGCTGCCCAGCAGGGTCCTCTGGGCACAAAATTTGTGAGAGCAGCGTAGAGACTGCTGATTGGGTAACCTCTCCTTCCCCCCAATTTATGGAGGGAAGAGAGGGTGCAGAGAGAGAAAGGATGGCTCAAAGCCCTGAGGAGGTGGAGGGATCCTCCATGGCCAGACCAACTGTGCAGCCCAGGTCTCACCCCTCCCGATCCCCAGAGAGGAATGGTGGCAGACAGGGCCATCCCCCAAGAGGACCCCAGGCGAGAGCAGGGTCCTCATTCATGCAGGGAAGTCTCACAGGTTGGGGTCCATGCCAGCAGGGCGGGTCTGGACCAAGAGCCAGACCCACCCTGGGGCCACCCACATTGGTGGGCTCCTCATCCCCCGACACACAGCTCCAAGAGGGTGGTGTGATCATCGGCCCCCTTCTACAAATGAAGTCACTGGGTTGTATGGAGACCCTACCGGCCTAACTTCTGATCTTAATGCCCTAACCACTGGCCTCAGAAGATGAACTCGTCTCATCTTGGAGACAAGAAAGGACACTGAGGTTCAGAGTGGGCCACAAACAGCCCAAGAGCAAGCAGTAGGAATCTAACTCAGGGCTGCAAAATGACAAACCTATCGCCTCTGCCTTTCTTTGCCCCACCAAGAAGCTAGGAGCGAAGCTGCCATCGCCAGCCCCTTACTCAGAGGGACAGAGCAAGGCTTGGGGCCAAGTCAGCTGCTGGCCACATTGCCAACCAGCGTGTCTCCGTGTTCTGGGCACACACCCAGGCCCTGCCTGCAGCCAAGTAGCCTCAAGACCCAGGCCCAGCCATTCAGGGCTTTGGTTTCACCTCTATAAAAGCAAGTGCTGCCTGTCCTGACTCCTTCCTTCTCATACAGACGGAGACACACTTCCTGCCTCAGCCCAGCCTGGCCATGGGCCCTCTCCCCCAGCTGGCGACCAGCGACCTGACTGGCTCAGCCCAGGGCCCTCTAACCCACTCGCAGCAGCCACCCACTGGGTCAGAGTGCTCTACAGAACCCATGAGCGCAGCCAGGGGCCCCCAGTGCTCTCAGGATCCTCAGCCCTGCCCACCACCTCCTCTCACTGGGCCCTAGTTTCCTCCTTTGTATAAGAGGGAAGATTAAACCTTTGCAGCAGGGCTGCCTGAGGCTTTGCCCAGCAGGAGGCCAGCACAGGGTGAGGACTCAACATGGCCTACTGACAGGTGCCCAGGCAGGAAAGTTACTGCAGGAGGGGGACCTCCTCCCAGGGCCACGGTCAGAGCAGGAGGTGGGGGCAGGCTCAGCACCCCTGGGTCCTCACACAGAAACCCTCCAGTTTGTGGACCCTCTTGGTTGATGCAGGAAATACTGGACTGTCAATTACAGCATCTCCCAACCTTCACACCAGTCCACTTGAGTCCTTTTGACACACGGGGGAAACTGAGGCTTGAAAGAAAAACTGACAGTTTTGACAATCCAGGGCTCCCACTCTGCCGGGAAAGCCTAAGACGCCCACAAAAAGAAGGGGGACCAAACAGGTCCGACAAAGGAAAACGGGCCCTCCTCCTGCTTCTTCCTGGCCCTGCCCCGAGGGGGGGCAGAGGATGTGGAGAAAGCCACCCTTTCCCTCCAGACCCCCCTTAGGTCCCGGGGTGCTGCTGTAAGGTCTCTGAGCAAACCCTTCCCTCGTGCCGCAGGGGGACTAATGAGGCCGGGCGGTAGCCCACCCACTTCCCCAGTGAGCCAGTAAGTGGCACAGCCCTCTCCCTCAGGAGGGGCTCTTTTCTGCTACAGTTCCCCGACATCCCCCCATGAGGACTCGGGATGGTGACACGCAGCAGAGACCGAGGCATTGCAACAACGGCTGGGAGCGCTCCCCCAAATACCTTCGAATGTGCAATCCATGGCT